TGCACAGTGTATGCAAAGGCCCCAGAGGCCAGAAGAGGGTGCAGGATCGCCCGAGGTTGGAGTTACGGGCAGTTGTGAGCCGCCACGTACTGGGAACCAAATCCAGGTCCTCTGCAGGAGCAGTGTGGGCTCTGAACCGCTGAGCATCCAGCCCCAGGAGCCGACTTTGCTCACACTTTCTGCCTCTTCCTCCCTCTTGCTCTCTTCCAGGCTTCCTTACCTTCATCCTGGTGGGCTGCTGGGGTCAGCGCTTCCTGAAGGCCCACAGAAAACGCTCCTGCATCCTATCTCATTACCCACCCACCGCTTCCACCTGCCGGTCCCCGCGGGCCCCAGCCGGTGAGCTGCCCCTCACCTTTCCTCCTTCCGACTTCAGGACTTCCAGATCTCAAAACCCACAGCAGTCACTGGGCCCTGTGCTCCTGGTGTACTGCCACATCTTTCAATGGCCTCTTTCTGCGGTCTTCTGCAGGACCAGGGCAGGCAGGGACGTCTACCGCAGTCCAGGACAGCCTCCCCCAGCCTCCCCCTCCTAGCCTTGCCGCTCTCCACTGTGGGCAGTCACTGGTACAGGCATCTCTTGGCCAGCTCTGCCCAGGTGCTCCGCATTGGAACATCACTGGCCTCTGCTGGCTTGCTCTCTGCCTCAGGACCTTGGCGGGAATTGAAGCGGGAGCGGTTCCTTTATAACATCTTGTTCTGTTTCTACTTGCTGAGGGCAGGAGCCCGCGGTTAGTTTTAATGGCACAGGGTGTCTCCTTTGGCTTGCTGGTGTTTGGGGTGTCCCCCACACCGGACAGTTACACCTGAGGAGAGAAGGGTGGCAGGTGGCACAAGCCTACAGGTAGCTTTAGGTTCACCTCCTGGTCATACACAGTTGCTGTTGTTCCAAATATTGTGCCCACAGTCAAGACAGACACAGGTAAAAGAGGATCTTCCAGCCCACTTATTCATTTATTAATTTAGGGGGAACACGTGTGTAGAGGCCAGAGGTCAACATCTGTGTTTCCTTCAATCATCCTCCACCTTATTTTATGTGTGTATGTAGTTTGCACATGTGTGTGGGTGCATGTTTACATGTGTGCATGAGAGTGTGAAAGCCAGAGTCAGTATCAGGGCTTCCTCCATTACTCGCTATCTTATTTTTTGAGGCAGAATCTCTCACTGAACTTAGAGCTCACGATTCGTCTAGACTGGGTGGCGGTAACTCTAGGTAACCTCCAGCTATTGCAGGTAAATGGGGTCTGGCTTTTCCACGTAGGTTCCGGGAGATCGAACTCGGGGTCTCATGCTTGTGTGGCAAATGCTTTAGCTATCTCCCCAACCTCCTCTGGTCCGTTTTTATGGAAGAAGAGCAAAGACCCTTTTAGGATCTTTGGTAGGACCCTGCCAGGTGGACTTGGCTTTCTCAGCCTCTCCGTGGGGATGGGCAAGGGAGGAGGAGCTTGTTTGTTGAGCAACACGTCCCTCTCATTGGACAACCCACAGGAACCAGGCTGGAGATGCTCCCTGGGCACCCTTTCCCATCGTCATTACCACCCTCCTTGTCCTTACCAACGAGTGTTAAGGAGTTCTCATGAACGATGCCCGTGGGACGCCCCGTGGGACGCCCCGTGGGACGCACTGAACACAGGCAGGCACCGCTCTGTTCTGAAGAGTGTATCCCTTTCTTATCGAGCCTCTGTGCAGACACGTGGTAAGCTCCACTGTTGTGTTGGGTGTTGCTGTGGTGGGATTTCAGCCTTGGCTCTGGAAATCCAGATAGCACTGAGCAATCACAGGGGTAGGATGAGGTGTGCAAGATTAGGCATGTCAGCAGGACAGTCTCTGAAATGCCTGCTGAATACCTGAGGTCTCTTGGATGCCAACTCCCATTTCATGGAAACTGAACTCTGGTTTCGGTTATTCTATGCAGACCTTTCTAGACAGATTTTTTTTTTGGTAGTTACCATTTTTGATTTTGAGAAAGAGTTTCATTGTCACCCAGTTTGGCCTCAAACAGACATCCTCCTGCCTCAGCCTCCTAAGTGCTGAAATTACGTGTGTGGGCCACTGCATTCACTTCAGAGCTCTTCTGGCTTTGCACTGGTTTTAACTAATTGATTAATGAGTTAATTAGAGACACTGTCTTGCTATGTGGCCCCTGACAGACATACTTCCTATGTAGCCCAGGTGGGTCTCGAACTTTTACCTCTCCTTTCTGCTTCCAGGATGCTAACTGGGATGCATGCCCAGTTCCTTCCCATATTCCCAATTAGTAAGTGGAGCAAAAGGAGAGAGGCAAGATGGCTCAGTGGGTAGAGGCATTTGCCTTGTGAGCCTGACCACCTGAACTTGACCCTTAGGATCTGTATACAGATGGGCGAGACAAACCACACCCAGTTGTCCTCTGACCTGCACATGCATACCTGTGCCTCCCACCAATAACAGACAAACAAATAAAATAACATAGAAAGGAGAGGAGAGGCGGCGGGAAGCTTGGCTCTCCAGTGGAAGGTGAGCTCACCCACAACTCAGCTCCACCCTACTGCTCTTACGGTGAACACAGCACAGACGTGTGTACCCAAGTGAGTCAGGCTCTCTCTGCCTTGATTTACTCATCAACGCCACAGAGGAGGAGAAGAGCTTTCCTGCTGATGGTGTCCGTCGGTAGGTACGGAGCCAGTGACACAGCTCAGGGGTAAAGGTGCTGATGCCAACCCTGAAAACCCTGGCTCAGGCTCCGGGACTCTCAGGCTAGGAGGAGGAAACTGACTCCTACCAGGTACCCTCTGATTTCCACATGCGCACTGTGGCTTGTGTGTGCCCACACATGTACACAAACACATACTCATATAGTAAATTTGAAAATGTCACTTAATGGGGGATACACTGGAGGGGAAGGCTGAGGGGTGGGAGGAGGGAGGAGAGGAGGATCTGTGGTTGGTATGTAAAATGAAAAAAAAAAGAAAAGAAAACGTCATTTAAAAGTTATTCTATTTAAGCCAAATATGGTTTTTATTTTATCACAGCTTTTCTTACAATACTATTGTAAATATTTAATATGAAATATTATTTTATTTATAATAAAAGTATTATTATTAATAAATTATGAAACTCATTCAAAATCTCACTTCTTGGATTTTTTTTTTTTTTTTTTGCTTTGCTTTTTGCTCCCCACCTCACTGCCACTCTTAGGATGCTTTCCTGGTTAATAAACTAAAAGAAAGAAAAAAAAACTGACTTCTTAAAAATATATGGGAATCACTGCGTCTAGACAGTGGAATTATTATGCAATGGGACAGCGAAGTCAGAGGTCCAGCCATGAAAAAATGAGGAGGAAGCCAGTTGTGGTGGCGTACGCCTTTGACCCCAGAACTCGGGAGGCAGAGGCAGGCAGATCTCTGCGATTTCGGGGCCAGTCTGGTCTACAGAGTGAGTTCTAGGTCAGCCAAGACTACACAGCGAGACCCTGTCTTAAAAAGAGAGAAGATACGGTAAAGAAGAGGAAAGACACACGTTACTAGCTGCAGAAGCCGTCTGGAAAGGATACTCACTGTCTAATCTCTACTCTGACTTTCTGGAACAGACACAACTGTGGAAACAGATTAGGAGTGGCCAGCGTTGGGACGGAGCCTCAGCTCACGCAATTTACTGGTCATTGAAACTCCCTTGTAGGATACAATAAAAGCAGAAGTACGTTATTCATGGACTGTGCAACTCTGACTTGTACAGATTTCGAGTGGTAACAGTGTAGCCACATGGTTTCATGGGCAACGGATGTCCTGGCAGGTGCAGGGTGTTGATGGCCAGGGTGGCCGTGTGCAGGGTAGGTAATCGAAATTGCTACTGCCCGCTCCATTTGCCTGTGACCCTGAAACTGCTCTAGGTGGCAAGGAGGGCTTCCCTAGAGTGTATGAAGCCCTAGGCTCCACCCTCAGCAGTACATCACATCAACCCTATGTGGTGGTGCATGCCTGTAACACCAGCACTCGGGAGGTAGACAAAGGAGATCCAGAAGTTCAGGGTCACCCTCAGCCACATAGCGATAGAGTTGGAGGTCAGCCTGGGCTACATGAGACCCTCCCTCCCCTCAAAAAGTCAACTTGGCTTAAGTGTGTTTGTACACAGATGAGGGAAAGTGGATGGTGGAGACAGAGGGCTAGGTACACTGTCTTCGAAAAATCCCGTTTTTTGTCCCCAAGGCCTGCCAACCAGTTTCCTCCATGTTTGACGAGGACCTGGGGCAGCAGAAGAGGAACAGCATGGGTGTTCTTACAAGGACACCGTTTTTTCTTGACTTCTTCTTCTCGGCCTCCAGGTCTGTGGGCAGCTGAGGGCTCCCTTCTCCTCCCACTGGCAGAGAACAGGGCCGGGTCAGCAGCGCACACCGATCCTTAGACACAGGGAGTGTTATTTAGTCTAGAAACTCACAAAGGAAGTATCTGCTTGCACGTGAAAAATCTCTGGAATGTCTCTGCGAGACCACCGTGAAGAGCCCGCGCACAGCCCACAAGCACAGCCTTGTTCGGGCTGGGCACCACAGCCAGTCCAGGCCCTGGTGGCCCTGCTGTGCCATTCAGTCACCCTCACTCTGGCTCTTCTGAGCCCCCAGGGTGAGAGGCTGGGCAGGAAGAGGGAGGGACACCTGGGGAAATGGAGGGAGATCTGGGATACTGAGCCGCGTCCTCTAACACTTCTGACTGTTTTTCCCTGTCTGGTCTCTCCCTCCCCTCCCCTTCTTCCTCCCCACTCTTGGTTCTCTTTAGACAGGGTCTTCTGTAACAGCCCGGGTGACCTTGAACTCTCGGTCCTCCTGCTTCTACTTTCTCAGCGCTGGGGTGACAGGTGGTGCCATTGCGGACAACCCTGCCTGTCTTTAACTGATCTCTCCAAGTTTCCTTTCTCTTTTCAAGTTTTCTAAAAAATACACTTATTTAGTGTGTGTGTGTGTGTGTGTGTGTGTGTGTGTGTGTGTGTGTGTGTGTGTGTGACTCCGTTCTCTCCTTCTACTCCATGTGGGTCCTGGGAATTGAACTCGGATCTCCAGGTTTGAGGGCAAGGGCCTTATCTGCAGAGCCGTTTCAGGATTTCCTTCCTTTCTCGGGACCTGCTTTTCCAGATGCCACTGAAGGTTACAGACCTGGGTTTATTTAGACAGGCACGATGGGATGCAGAGCGCTGGGTGAGTGTATCTGGCTTTCTCTCTGGTATGACAACAGGGACACTCCTCATCCTGTCTCCTGGCCCCTCTGTCCCAAACCCTATCCTCCTTTGTCGGGTCATCTAGTCTTTACTTGAGATCAGTTTCAGCAATAGAGGCAAAAGGCTGTGGCCTTGCTGTTTTTTACAATGGTCGTTCCTTTCTAGTCAGAATGCAGAGTGAAACTGCCTGGACGCGGAAAAGGGGACTGATGTCGGGAAAGAAGCCCAGGGCTCCAGGGCACCCACTGGAAAGCAAGGAACGTTCAAGTGCCAGGTGTGAGGACTGTAAATAGAACGCTGCTTACAGTGCACTTAGAATAACAGCAGCTGCTCTCTGAGGACGGCCTTTTTCAGAGGCTAACATTTAACTTCCCGACAATTCCAGGCAGTCTCCACATCACATGAGTTCACTGGGGCAAGCATAGCCTCGTGGCCCATTCTGTCCACGCATCTCAAATTTCGAGTTTAAGAGCTGATTTCCTAAGGACTATGCTAAACCTCTCACATTCCAACGCGCGCGTACACACACACACACACACACACACACACACACACACACACACACACACACAAAACAACCATTGTTTTTCAAAATGTAGTCTTACTTGGGAATGTTAGGACGTCAAACCCTTCAAAAGTCGGACCAGTTTGGTTTCAAAAGACTTGATGGGGCAAATTTCAGACCTCTTGATTTTTCTTTTTTCCAGCGTTTTTGCTTGAGTTCATTTCTGCAATCAGGCCTGGCCGCAGCTTAGCGGATGCGGCTAAGGTCACACAACGGAGGACTCATAGATGCTGTCTGGCCCTGCAGCCACTCAGATCTGGAAATATTTTCCCTTCAAAACAGAAATCAAGAGGTTACTTTGGGGTCACTCAAAACTCTCAAAAGACTTTTTTTCAAATGAAAACGAGTTGGGGTTTTTTGGAAGCGCTCCTCTGGACCTTCACGGGTTAAGGTTTCCTGTGCTGCTTTACCCCGTGGGGTGACAGCAGGGGACAAGTGGCTGGTGCAGTCAGGGGCTTCAGAGGACTAGAGAAGGAGACAGAAGAGACTCTCTGGACAAGCTCTGGCCGCAGCGTGACTGGCTCTTTACCAGCGGCTTGGGTGGGGGTCAATTCGCTGGTCCTCAGTGAAAGGCCAGGCAGGGCCTCTCAGACTGCAGACCTGGTCGCCAGCTCAGCAGCTCTGTGAACGAGTCGGGGAGAGGGCACAGCATCACAGATGTGTTTCCTCCCTGGGGCAGAATTAATGGACTGGAGAGGGGCAGGGCACCCTGTTTCCCCTGATGGCCTCACTGGCCTGCATCTGTTGGGAAAACAGCCCCCCACAAAGTCAGAGGAGCAGTGAGGTGGAGAGAGAGGTACACTGTTATATGTGGTCCTTAACCACTCTGAAATCTCCAAGAAAGCAGAAGACACAGGCTGCCTTGAACTTCCCAACGTAGGTCTTTGAAGTAGAACAAACTCTTCAGCTGCTGAAAACCTCTTGCAGAAGTGCCCAGAGTCCAGGCCAGTGCCTGGTGTGTGGGGCTGCTGTGCCAGGCTGGGCTGGGCATTGAACTGTAAAGTAGTGGGAAGGATAGAGACTCCCTGCCCAGGCCGAGCTGGCATGAAGCGGATGGTGGAGGTGCAGATGGGGAGAGAAAAAAACAATATTCGCTATTCAAAACAGTGATCAAAGCAAAAAGGAAGTCCTCAGGAGAGGGTGGGAGAGGAAGGACTCCGTGTAAGGGAACATTCACGTAAGGGCTGAGGACCAGAAACGAGATGGGTGGATGACCCCTCACAGTACTACAGGGCCAGGGAGCAGCGTGGGCCACAGCCCCGACAGAGGGTGTTTGTGTGTGTTTGGTGTATGCAAGCTTCAGCAGGGCTGTGTGCATTGACATTGGCAAGCTGGCAGAGGACAATGGCCATGAGGCTGAAGAGGTCAAAGGCACAAGCCTTGTCTAGGGCTCGCTAGAGTTTGAAGCACCCCCCCCCCCCAAATCATGCGTTGGAAATTTGACCTTCAATGCAGAAGCGTCAGAGGGGGGAGTAGTCCAAGTTTTGAGTCAGGATCTTGTACGAGGTCCAGGCTGACCTTAAAAGCACAATCCTCCTGCCTCAACCTCCTAAATTCTGGGGTTACAGGAGTGTCTCACCACAGAGACCCCCGTAAGAGTGTTTGGGTCATGAGTGTTCCTCCCTCATGGATGGATTAATGCTGTCACTGGGAGTTTGGGTTCTTTTAAAAAGGAATCCAGAGGAATCTGGGGCCAGGCAGGGTGGCACATGCCTTTGATGCTAGCACTTGGAAAGCAGATACCTGCCAGCCAGGACCACAGAGTGAGACCCTGAGAAAAGGAGAAGGAGAAGGACGGGTCTGGGCGCTGTGTGTGTCTCTTCTTGACTATTTTATTTAGACAAGGTCTTGTGTATCCCAGGCTGCCTCAGACTTACTGTGTAGCCAGTTGAATTTCTTTCTGGTCTTCCTGCCTCTGCACTCTGAGTGCTCGGACTACAGGCCTGGTACTGGGGTTCCATCCCAGGTTTTGAGCATGATAGGCAAGTCATGTCCCAACCCAGCCCGATGGGTGCCCTTTAAAAACAGGCACATTTCAAACCCTTTGAGCGTTTGTGTTTGTTCTTGTCTCTGTGGGGCACAGGCAGAGAGGACACTCTGGCCTGTGGGACTTCTTTACCTTTGGAGGTGGCTTCCAAGACACTGAGTCACTCTCCTACCACCCATGTAGAGCTATCCTGAAAAAAAAAAAACCCTAAAATAAACCTACCCTGTTTCCTGGCAGTTCTGCAGCTCCTGAGGGGGTGGCCAGGAGCACAGTGTGGCGACACCAAAGAGGCAGGCCGCATCAGGAAGCACTGTGTGTGGGAAACTTGGCTGTGACTTCATCACGTGGAGGCTGCATCGGGCTGGGGTCTGCTTCTCCAGGGAGCAGACACAGAGTCAGACCCCAGAAAACACGCAGGGGTGTGGCTAAGCCAGCTGAGCCGCAAGCTGGCTGGCCTACGGCTAACACCCGAGGGTGGAATTGTAACCTGGACGTGGTCTGATGACCAGTCTCCGCGCCTGAGCCCCAGCTGTGCTGGGAACTGACCTCATTCATGAAGTAAACACTGAATCAGATACCAGTGCGCCTAACCCTGCTGGGGTGGAAACAGCTCAGATCTCTTCATAATTACGAAGCGGCCAATTGCACTTGGCGAGAGCCCCTCGAAAGATGTCAATTGGAATGAGTTCATGAGTGTCTCTTGCCAGCTTCATCGGAAGCCAATTGCCTTGCTCTGGTTGAAATGATTCGTATTAAAATGTTTTACTTGCATTCTCGTTCGGAGACTCCAAATATTGTCCTGGGAAGCTGTGCTGACTAGCAACTGGAAGACCGTACTGGGAACCCACCGGTTGTCGCTGAGTCCTGGCCACATCTGCAGCTGTGTGCCCCCAGATGTTCCTGGGACAGGGGCCGTAGAGCGCAGGCCTGTCTCGTGATAATGTAGTCCAGGCTGGGATCTGGGGCCTGGTGTTGGTGTGTCCTGCCCTTCGGTCATAGACACCCACTGTAGATGTTCACGCTCCCCTTGGTTAGTCAGGGGCTACGGGTTATCCATGCTCTTCTTTCCCTTGCTCTTTCTGTGTGTTTCGTTCAGGAGATGAGAGCTGGTCTGTGCTCCACTGTATCTGAGGCCGCTTTGCAGTGCACTTTCATAATCTGGGAGAGAAATCATTTCTTGTTTTAAAGATTTATTTTAAAAAATTGTATTCATGTACAAGTTACCTCAGAGGCCAGAAGATGTCACTGAGTCCCTTGGGAGCCAGAGTTATGGGTGGTTGTGAGCTGCCCATCATGGGTGCTGGGAACCAAACTTGGGTTCTCTGCAAGAGCAGTATGTGCCCTTAACCCCTGAGCCATCTCTCTCCAGCCCTGAGAAATAATTCCTCATTATTCCTTCCTTAGCTTCATTACATACAGAACATTGGGATGCTGTCATTCAGTCAGGCCTGCAGCTTGGAGCCAGATTGCTTGAGTTCAGCCCTACCTTTTGTAAGAAGGGTGGGCTTGGGCAGGCCACTCTCTTCTGTGCCTGGGGACTAAAGGGTTAATTCATGCACAGCATGTAGAGCTCTTCCAGGACACAGAGGAACATCGATGAACAGGCATGATTAGCCTCGGTCACAGTCTGCTTGTCTGCTGTGACAAACCAGACTGAGGAACTGATAAAGGTTAGAAATCCGTTTCTCCTCCTAGTCCTGGGAGGAGGGAACCGGAGGTCGGAGGTCGGAGTGCAGCATTTGACTCTCCTGCAAGCCTTCCTGCTTCCCAGCGGGACAGGGGGCGGGAGGGAGAGGACATCTAACACAGGTCCTCCAGGCCTTCTCTATGGCCTCTGATGACCCCACCGGCCCCCAAAGGCCTTGCCACACCGCAGGGGTTAAATCCCACGTGACTTTTAGGAGGGACACCGTCCCTCAGGGCAGGGCAACCTTCGTTATTGCCACTGCCACCAGTGAGCTAGAACAGACACAATAAGGAACGTTGGACATCTTGTACTGCTGAGTATACAAGGTGGCTGTCGGCACCACGAGGCCAGTCTTTGGACATTGCAGCATGATGTTGCCACCTGCAACTGAGTCACAAAAACAAGCAAGCAGGCAGAAGTGATCAGAAAAACAGCACGTTCTGAGCAAGTTTACGATGTCGCTTTAGGCAACACTTCCAGCCATCCCTGGCCAGTTGAGGCCTCAGATTGCACACGTCACTGTAAGCCAATAACTGCTTTCCAGGTATGATGATAAGAATCCAAAAGACAGGGCTGGAGAGATGGCTCAGCAGTTAAGGTCATTGGCTGCTCTCCAGAGGACCCAGGTTCAGTTCCCAGCACCCACATGGCAGCTCACAACTGTCTGTGACTCAAGCTCCAGGGGATCTGACACCCTCGTTTGGCTTCTGTGGACACCAAGCATACACCAGGTATGCACATACATACATTTAGGCCAAACGTTCAAATACATAAAATAGGAATAAATAATTTAAAAAAAAGGAAGCCAAGAGACCAGTGTGATCTGTTAAATCAGGAACCTAATTTCCCCCCTAATTCTCAGTCTGTTATATGGAACATATGTTTCCTGTTCTTCCCCGAGAATAATCGTGTCTGGCCTTGATACTGAAGTAACTCAGGGTGTAAAACCCTGTGGGGGTGATACTGTTGACACAGAATGATAATAGTATTTTCTCATACAGGGCTGTGGAAGCTGTTTTGTCATGGCTTCTCATGGTTTCAACTGCTTGTTGGCCTCGAAAAGACCTTTCTCTCCCTCAGATGAAACCATTTGACAAGGCTTCTTCACTTTGTAGCCCAGGCTGGCCTTGAACTTTCAGCTTCCCAAGTGCTAGCATTACAAACATGAACCACCACTCCCATTTCCCTCTGCACCTTTCTCCCATCACCCTGACCCCTGACTGCCCGGAAGAGAGGAGGTATTCCCAGAGGCTTTCTCATCTATGATTTGAACGAGGGCTTAGGATGGACAGGCCTTGGCAAGGGTACTGATATTTCAGGGTGCTGTGAGGAACCATGAAGGCCAAAGGCAACAAAGCTGGATTTATTGGAATGTTTATTTTTGAGGCAGGATCTCATGTATCTCAGGCTGTCCTCAAACTCTAATGTCTTTGTCAGGGTCTCTATTGCTGTGACGAACAAAGCAACTTGGGGAGGAGAGGGTTTGTTGGGCTTACATTTCCATATCATAGTCCGTCACTGAAGGAAGTCAGGGCAGGAACTCCAACAGCAGGAACCTGGGGGCAGAGCTCATGCAGAGGCCATGGAGGGGTCCTGCTTACTGGCTTGCTCCCCATGGCTTGCTCAACATGTTTTCTTAGAGAACCCAGGACCACCAGCCCAGCGATGGCCACAGCCATCAGCCCAGGCCACAGTGGACTGGGCCCTCCCACATCAATCACTGAGAAAATGTTCAACAGGCTTTCCCACAGCCTGATCTTTGGAGGCATCTTCTCAATTGATGCTCCCTCCTCTCAGGTGACTACAGCCTGTGTCAAAGGGACATAAACCAGCCAGCACATTTACATAGCTGAAGACAGCCCTGAACTTCTGCTCCTGCTGTGCCCACCTCCCCAGGACTGGCAACGTGTACCATCACTCCCAGTTTATGCGGTGCTGGGGATCCAACCCAGGGCCTTCTGCATGCTGGGTAAACATCCTAACGACTAAGCCATAGCCTCACAAACTAAAAATTTAAAATTACGAGTGAGACCAATGAAAGGTCAGTGAGTTTGGGGTTGATTCTAGGCAAAAGTGAAGTGCATGGTTGGCTGGCATACAGAAGGGTGATGATAGGGTCGATGCATTGATGTGTCCATGCTGATGCCCACAGGGATGCCTTTATAGTTTGTTTTTTTGTTTGTTTTGTTTTTTGAGACAGGATTTCTCTGTGTAGTTTTGGTGCCTGTCCTGGAACTCACCCTGTAGACCAGGCTGGCCTCAAACTCACAGAGATCCACTTGCCTCTGCCTCCTGAGTGCTGGGATTAAAGGTGTGTGCCACCACCACCCGGCTACGTTTATAGTTTTGCTAAGTGAAATGAATGTACTGTGCATCCATGATGCTCACAATAGTTTCACTACTCACGAAATTCCTGGGGACCAAAAACAGTGACAGAAAGCCTCCTGAAGCTTGAGGCATATCTCCATGGAAGGTGACACCATGTCACAGAATTGGAATTTGTGCCCAGGCCCCATGTCCAAGGTAAAGGCTCCTTACACTACAGGGACTCTAGAGCGTGGTGATGTGGAATTGTACCAACAGATGGGACAGGGTCAGTCCAAAGAATTCTCTAGAGGCATGCCAAGAAATTCTGTCCTTGGCTTTAATCTCTTTAGCATTCTATCAACAACTTGGATGGGACCAAAGATAGCTGCTTATCAACTGTGCAAACAGCCCCAGACTGGGAAGGAGGGCCAATCTGTTGGATTGCAACACTGAGATCCAAAATTATCTCAACAGGAAGGAATGTTCGGTTAATCCCAACGAGATAAAATGGAACAGGAATACATGCAAGGTCCCACATTTAGCTCTAAAACTTGACTGAAGATGTGTAGGAAGTGTCTGGAGAGGAGTCCAGTTTCACTGGTAATCAAAGAAATGCAAATGAAAGCAGCCACGAGATAACCATTTCCCTTATCAGATTGGCAGGGATTAAAAGGAGGAGAATTCTTGGAGTTGTTGGGGCGGGGGAAGACTACACGCCATCTTGTCAGTTGCTCATGGGCTTGCACACCAGAGCACCCTGTCTGGAAGGTAATTAGGAAACTTGCAGCAAGCAGAAAGTCTTTTCCCTGGAAGTCTCATTTATAGAAATGCATCTAAAGACAAGCTGGGAAAGATTTATGTACCAAGATATTCCTCAAAAGCACCATTAAGAAAAGAAAACTGTTTTGGAAGAGGGAGAGGCGTTCAGTGTGGGAACAGAGGACATGGAGGCTGTAGAAGGGTACCACAGAGCTGCTGCCAAATGCTCCACGCCTTGCAGAGACACTCAGCATCCCCGTAGAGCCAAGTGAGCCCGCTGGGATTTAGGAGACGTCTCTTTGGCCCAACAACACAAAGCACATTCCATAAGTGAATTCTGTCTCGAATCAGGATGATTGCCTTGGACACTTTTCTGTCAAGGGGATGAAGGGGACTGTAAGAAACATTAAACAGGATTTTTTTCTATCAAATACTGTAAAACTTGCGTTTGTGACAACGAATTAAAATTTTTGTATGTCACCAGGTGGTGGTGGCTCACACCTTTAATTCCAGCACTTGGGAGGCAGAGGCAGGTGTAGCTCTGAGTTCAAGGCCAGCCTGGTCTATGGAATGAGTTTCAGGACACCCAGGGCTACACACAGAGAAATCCTGTCTTGAACGCCCCCCCAAAAAAAATAAATAAAAGAAATTGTATCTCCCCCACATGTACACCAATGTTTCTATGCCCCCACCCAGAAAAACCTTTGTATGCACAAAAGTCTCGCTACATTCTCCAAACTTAAGGGACCTAAGTGGCCAACACCTTTCTGCTTTCATTGTGCACCAATTTTTAAACTAGCCAATTGTGAAGACTGTGAGGTAAGATCCCAGTCAATGGTGAGCGGATCCAGCCACCACCGGAAGTCCCAGTGCCTTGCTCTCTGGCTTTTGTGAATAACCGTACCTCTTAGGTAAGAGTAGTTTTGCCTTGCCAAGACATGTCACTACCATCTCTCTTTGAGACCCTTATTTCTAACAGGGACAGCCAGAATTTTGTTTTTGTTTTTTTCCCATGTAGCTGAGAATGACCTTGATATTCTGATGTTCCTGCCTCAGCCTCCCGAGTCCTGAATTACAGGCATGCACTTCACCCCCAGAATTATGGGGTGCTTAGGATCAAACTTAGGACTCTGTGCATGGTAGGTAAACACTCTACCAACTGAGCTACATGACCAGCCCAAGAATTTCTTAGCCATTGGGCTGAAATGCTTGTATGGTCTTTCTAACAGGAGCAGGCACCGAGACATTTCTGTGTGAAACGGCTTGAAAGTAGAGCTGTCAGTCAAGGTGTGGGGTCGGGGGAGAGGCTAGGTGAGAGTTCACAGGAGGCCACACATCTGGACACTTGATTTTCTTGGTGAAATGAGAAGACTTCTACTGCCCCGAAGCACTAGGAGCCTGCAGA